GAGCAATGGAAAGGGCTCGGGGCTCCAGTCGCCACCGTAGTAGGAGTGGCAGCAGCTGGGAGCCCCGGGCCCCTTTGAATTGCCAGGGCCCAGGGCAACTGCCCCCTTTGCCCCCTCCCCATTGGTGGGCCTGACTCCGACTGACAGCCACCGCTTGACTTCCAATCCAGTCCTCGATACACCAGTTTTTGGAGACATACAATGAACTGAACAGGAGGCTCGTCCTTCTGTTGGATACTCGGTGTCTTTGGTTCCCTCTGGGGCTGTACCCCTCCCCCTGCCCCTCAAAGGTAACCACGCTTGCAAATGCACCTTTCTTTGGCCTTTTGCTGCAAGACGCTGCGGTGCCGAGCCCGGCTGCTCTCCCATACATCACAGCCCAAGAGCGCCTCGGCAAGCCAAAAACAGCCCCAGCGCTGTTTCCGAGTGCAATTGCTTCATCGTTGTCTCGTCTGTTGCCCTCCAAAGCCATGTGGGTGATTGGCCTGCCGTTGCCAGCCTGCAGTATGTGCCCGTGGGCCCATGCTCTGCACAGTCGCACAGAATGGCATGAAGGCCAGAAGGGCCCATTCGATGTAATCTGGCCTGCAGACCAGGCTTGCATCCCTGGGTAAGCCAGAGCCCACAGAACAAGGTGGTCTGGGAGGGGGGTTGCCAGTTAGCTTGGGCCCCATGTTCGCCATCCACATTCACAGCCCTGGGTGATGCTTACCAATTAACTTTTCACATTCCTAATGCTCACAACATCCTCTGGCAAGGAGTTCCACAGGTTGATTGTGTGCTGCGTGAAGAAAAACTTCCTTTTGTTTGTTTTAACACCCATCCCTGGCCCTATTTAAAAGCAAGCCTGGCTGGTTCTCTCACAGCTCCCACAGCTAGGGATTGTTTGGAGGCAGGTACGCAGGAGGTCAGACAAGATGATCATAACAGTCGCTTTTGGCCTGGGGCTCTTATGAGCGGCCTGCTTGGCAGGACAGACACCTCAGCTCCTGGGACCAGGGACTCTGTCACCATGGCAACGCCCATCAGTGCAGGAGACAGAGCACCCTCTGGGCCTGGTCCCAGTGTGGGGAACCAACTCCCCCAGGAACTACGCTCTGTCCCAACCTTCCCCGCCCCTGATCTGAGGCCAGGAACACTTCCACTAGGGATGTAAAATCCCGGTTAACCAGCTAAAACGGGATTCAAGCTGAGGACCGCTCCAGCCCGAATGGGGCAGCCCCCACCTTGCGGGGCTCCTGACCCAGCCCCACTCTGGAGCTGCGGCCGGTTCTGCTGGCTCCCAGCCCTGACACGGGGGCTGGGGTTGCTGCCAGCTCCCAGCCCCTGCCGGAGCAGCCCCTACCTGTGGGGTGTCCAGGCTCCCCGTGGACAGGTGCTGCTCCGAAAGAGAATAGACCGTGTCTGTGGCGGCCCCCTCAGCATTCCCCTGCTCCAACCCTTAACCAGAATCGGTAAGTATCATCTGTTTAGGGTGGTGCCTACCGGTTAACCAGTTCCCCTTTCACGTCCCTCATTTCCAAGATCCATCTCTTCTCAATGCAGCTC